AGGCAGTGTTAAAAATATAGTAAGCCTAATGCTAACGTCGTATGAGAAGTATAATTAATTAAAACTACTGTAGTTTTTTTTTCTGTTTACATACAGTACTCGTTATGCATAAAATATGTGTGCTTGTTACTCTTCTTTTCTTTTTCTCCAGAATTAAGAATATTATACAACTCTAGAATAGGTATATAAAGTTTTATCCACCAAGTTTGCCCTAAGTGAAGTCTTCCAAAAAATTTCCAAAATTATCACTATCCCTAATCTTTGTCCAGCTATGAAAAAAAAATGCCAGTATTTATTTTCTTTGTGATGTAAATCTGAAGAAATACAGTGGACAAACTGTTGTAAAGTGTGATTGTCAAAAATGTAAAATCTGCTTTAGAAATAATGTGTGTTTCGTCATCATTCGCCGTTTCAAAAAATCAATTATAAAACATTTTGAGGAACAAGTCCAGTAACGAACATTGAACTGTGCGAGTGCCTAAAGATCTCGTAAATTTTATAATATATCCTAGTCCTAGCGACATAAACATATAAATTCAATCTGTTTCGACTTAGCTGAAGCAGTTACACACTTCTTTAGTTATAAATAAATATTTATTCTTCAAACATCAGCGGTGAATGAGAAAAAACATCGTTTAATACATATATATTTATTAAACGTACTTCCGCAGGGCCCCCGAAAGCGTTCTGTTTCCAGAGTAAATAAAACCAAAATTAAAAGCAACAAATATTATTAATTTCTTGATTTTGAAGTTCATACGTCGTGCTGTGTTGTAGCCCTTAAAAAGTGCATAATTCTTCTCGTAATTCATGGCATGCGTACGTTTTACTGACGTCACGACAGTACAAATTGCAACGTTAAGCGTCCCGTATGTGACATCATTTTAATGTCTACTGACAGGCTGACAGACAACACACTATTTTATAGTGATGTGAGCGGTTAAAAGAGGTAACCCCTCCAGACGGTCTTCGGCCCCCTTTCGGATGATTAAATATACACCCTCCTCTCTTCATCTCATTACTATCGTTTCCAAAATTCATTTCGCGTAACTCAGCTCAGAAAAGAGTGACATCCGGTGTTACCACTGCTTCCTGTTTATTCTCACACGTTGTCATCCTTAAAGGTAACACGCTTTCCAATCCGATATCCTGATCTAAATATATATTTCCTGTAAGAGTTGCTTCTCTTTAAAAGTGTAGTTTAATTTAAACAGTAAATGGTTACATTGTACGTGTCTTGGGTTAAAGTAACGTACAAAAATACGAGAAATCCATCCAAAAACGTTGGAGTGAAAAAAAAAAGAAGCCAAAATTCTGCTTTTGGTCAAACAGTAGGCGATATCTCATAAATTACTCACATTGCGTCATTTTATTCATGTGCTGTAAACCTGAATTTATATTCAGCGTGAGTTCCCAGTAGAACAACGCTTACGTACCAGTAAATATCTTATTTATATTCTAGAGTTCCCATAGAACAACGCTTACGTACCAGTAAATATCTTATTTATATTCTAGAGTTCCCAGTAGAACAACGCTTATGTACCACAGTGGAGTAAACTCAAGCCTATACGTCTATTGTCCAATGAGAGCCGAGCCTAGCCCATGTAATGGTCAGCGTGCTGGATTGTGAAGCTTAGGTTTTGTGGTTCGCATCTTTCTACCTCGAGAAAATTCGCGCTCCGTATTTTGGGGCCGTCAATGAGTTATAAGAGCGACTGTCAAATCCTTCTATTTGGTTCGACAAGTGATGGCGGTGGATGATGTTGACTAGCTGCCTTCTCTCAAGTCTATCATTTGGAAATTAGGAATGGCTGGCGCAGACATCCCCCGGATAGCGTTGCGCGAAATCCAACAATTAATTGAACAGTTTGGTTTGTTTGGAATTTCACGCAAAGCTACACGAGGACTATCTGCGCTAGCCGTTCCTAATTTATCAGAGAAAGACTAGAGGGAAGGCAGCTAGTCATCACCACCCACCGCCAACGCTTGGGCTACTCTTTTACCAACAAATAGTGGGGTTTGCCGTCACATTATAACGCCCCCACGGCTGAAAGGGCGAGCATGTATGGTGGGACGGTGATTTGAACCCGCAACTCTCAGCTTGCAAGTCAAGCGCCCGAACCACCTGGCCATGCCGGACCCAGAATAAGAGGGAAAACAGCTAGACATCACCACCGTGGGATTGACCTTCCCAATATAACGCCCCCCACATGTTCGGAGTGACGGGGATTCGAACTCAGATTGTCAGTCGAGCGCCCTAACCACATTCAACTTAGCTCCTAATTCACCTAAGAATGATAACCGATTTACACTGAGTAAAGTCTGACGTGGTTAGGACGCTCGACTTGCGTACCAGTAAATATCTTATTTATATTCTCCAGAGAGATTACATACTTAGGCTCCGTCGTTTCGTTTCGAGATTGCGTGCGTTTATATTGGATGACGTCAAATTTCACCTTAGAAAATCCTTCTCAGATCCGGAATGATTAACGATCCGGATCATTTTTTGTAACGTGATGAGGACTCTCAATCTTAATGTGCCCATGAAATTTGGTACAAATCCGATCACAGTTTACTGAATTATAAACCGCGAAAATACTCTACCTCTCCATTATAAAAAATGATACAAAGTGACCCAGAATCCGAATCCAAATTTGGGGAGAACTGTCCCATGCTGACTTCCAATCTTGTGTAAAATTTTCATGTACATCGGTATATTAGCTTTCGAGATAGGCGTGCGGAAACAGACAGACACACGGACACGGAGAGGGAGAAACGTAAATATCTTCTTATTTATATTCTACAATTCCCAGTAGAACAACGCTCAATTAAGTTTGTTATAGCACTAATATTCAGTAAGTAAAAGATACAATATGAAAGAGTTATCAGCGAAAAGAAAACCGCTTTATGAACAGATTCCATTCGCACACACGTATAACAAGAGCAACGGCCCGGCATGGCCAGGTGGTTAGGGCGCTCGACTCACAATCTGAGTGTCGCGGGTTCGAATTCCCGTCCCAACAAACATGTTCGTCCTTTCAGTCGTGGGGGCGTTATAATGTGACGGTTAATCCCACTATTCGTTGGTAAAAGAGTAGCCCAAGAGTTGGCGTAGGAGGTGATGACTAGCTGCCTTCCCTCTAGTCTTAAACTGCTAAATTAGGGACAGCTAGCGCAGATAGCCCTCGTGTAGCTTTGCGCGAAATTCAAAACAAACAAATTCACTGTCTGCAGCTATTTGTGGTAAGAAATTGCTTTGGATGAAACAGAAAAGCAATGATATAATGCCTTTATCTAAAACAACTCCATTATAGTCAAGTACCGTGTAGGAACATCTTTAATAAAGCTTACAGAATGAATATGTCAATATCTTCTCAAAATAAGGAAATAAAATTGGAATTTAGTATCCTAATCCCAAAAATGTCGTAATCATTCATTTTACTCCGTGATATAACATACATAAAATAATTATATATATTTCCTTGTTTAACCCATTGTATCATGCTTGGTCTCTTACTCACTTTCATACTTTTATCATGTGGAAGGGCTTATCGATAATCTGAAGATATTGGCAGATTTAATGGTTCAGGTTGTGACATAATAGAAATTCTACAGCTTAAAAAAAATATACATATTATTTTAATATCAGTTTAACTTAAAATGTGTACCATTATGTAAGCACAAACACATAGTAAAAATTACAATTAAATGTAGAAAATGTATTTATAAACTGTATATCTTTGTTTTGTTTATTTAGATTAGGTAAGTAATAACACATTACTGTCATTTCTAAGTCATAATTTTATCATTCTTTGTTATCGTGATTCATTCTGAAGAAATAACGTAATATCAATGATTTTTTTTTAAATAAAGTAAATGTTTAATTAAAATGTAAACTACTACTACTATAGAAGATAACACTTTGATCATATCGTTTTTGCATGTTCTCAGGAACCTGAACTTTTAACTTTAGAATTACTAATGGGTCCAGGAGGACCTCACCTGTTTTTGATTCACATGAGTCACATACACACATACAAAAAAAAACATACCATCATTTTCAAAATTAACCCCATTAATTACTGTTATAGAGTTTCCTATGTCTCTGACATAAAATATAAGTGATTTAATATACTTTGTTTGGTCAGTTCTTTACACTTATTGTTATGATAGGCAATGCAATAAGTCGACCCCACTACAACAAGTCGGTAGTTTTAGAGTTAATATTTAACAAGTATGAATCAAACAAGAACGTTACAACTTGATTATGTTGTACTGCATAACTGGCATTATACATTTTGCTTTTCTTATCTTTTAGACCAACGGTTTCGACATCAAAGAAAATTTGGAAGCCTGGAGAAGTCTTTCTTATGCTGGGTCAATGTATTATCCTTATGATTCGGCTACTTTAGGGAACTACCCATTTCCTAACGGGTAAGTTAAATAAACTTATGTTTCTTTGCACATATGACCATAGATATTATTGTTACTTTACCCTATGTAATATGATTACAAATTTCACAACCTTCGTACGTATATTTTACAAAGTTTGTCAAACAAGTTCGTTTAGAAGATTGTTTGTTTGTAATTATGCACAAAGCTACACAAGGGCTATCTGTGCTCTGCCCACCACGGGTATCGAAACCCGGTTTCTAGCGTTGTAAGTCCGCAGACATACCGCTGTGCCACTGGGGGGCCGTTTAGAAGAAGAGAGAAACTTCACTGTAAGAAAGAGAATACAAAGTTTTTTTTTACATATACCTGAAACTCAAGGCATTTTAGATAAACGTAACATGTTGTTTCTCGTTTTAAACCTTTTGTTTGAGCTGTTGGTACAAGAGAGACACCAGAACGAAGTGTTATTTATTTAAATCAGATACAATTGTATATTATTTTTTCTTCTTATAGTACACACGCTATACCATAATTCTCAATACATCATACCATTATTTGTATAAATTAACATTTTGGCTACCGTCTAAGTCATTTAATGATTTCTCCTTTGAAACCACCCGATTATTTTAATCGTCCAAACAGCATCACTAGCAATAGAAATATTAATATCGAAACCCGTGCCTACCCTTGTAACACGCGAGAATTGTGACAGTTTTGCTTGGTAATTGCCAGAGAATTTTATTATTTCAAAATAAGCTATAATTTAAAAATAAAAGAAACTAACTGAATGGAAACTTAAAGTAATCATTATTCCGTATTAAGCAGAAACATTTTTGTTTTATTTATTGCAATATATATCTAAAGTATTATCAACACATAAGCTCCTCCCCCCAGTGGCACAGCGGTATGTCTGCGAACTTACAACGCTAAAAACCTGGTTTCAATACCAGTGGTGGGCAGAGCACAGATAGCCCATTGTGTATTTTGTGCTTAATTCCAAACAATTAACAAGTAGAATATTCTTCTTCTTTGTTTTGTTTCATCCATAAAAAAAAAGAATATACATCAGTTATTTTGCAATCTCTAAGTTTCACTCATAAAACCATACAGTCATAAAAAACTTACGTTAGAAATAATACCACCAAAACAAGGGATTCTCTAAATCTTGCAACAGGCAAAATGATATATTCACTTGGATCAAGTTTTTATATTGAGCCTGGAAATATAATTATGTTTTACATAACCAATGGACTGAAGCCAAATTTTTTCGGATACAAGTTTCTTCTGAGTCACTATATATATTCTCAATTGGTTATTCCAATCATACATGGATATCTTATAATGTATGGACATAGACGATACTAATATTGTTGTGTATGTTTAATTTCACGCTTTGTATACTGCATCAGTATCCTTGAAATAGGGTATTTCTGCCAAATAGCTCTGTGCGAGTAATCTAAACTTGTTTTAACATTTAGAAAGTCTTACAGCAATCTCAGACGTTGATAAAGAGGTCCGTGTTTTATCAACTAGGACATGTGTCCTACACATGTCCACAAAAATGTCGGCCTATAAAACAATCTGGTTTTGATAAGGCCTGGTCTACAAGGACGTTAAATGATGAAATTGGTCATGTGATATGTAAACATGTAGAAATGAGAATTTGGCCATGTTCTCAGGTTTCCAATTCGCCAGTGTCAGATTACTTTTTCACGTCCTTTAAGCTATCATCCTGTTTTACATATACAAAACATTTAAACTCAGCAAAAACGTGAAAATTTCGATCATGTAAAAATGATGTGTCTCCAGAGCTTGGAACTATTATGAACAAGTAAAAGTCGCCTTATACTGATTGTTAATATATATATATATATGTGTTATTTGAATTCAGTGTTTAATTCGCCCGAAGATTGATTATTATACTAACTTGTTAATAAAGAGTTATGTTAGAAAAATGCATCTTTAGAATAATTTGTTACAAAATATGAAGAAATTACGAAGTGATATACTCCTGATGGCTCAACAGCAAGTCTGAAGGCTTATAACGTTAAAAATCGGGATTCGTTACTCGTGATGGGCACAACACAGATAGCCCATTGTGTAGTTTTGTGCTTAGCTACAAACAAACCCACATATGGAAATGGTCCAGCATATTTTGGTTCGCTTGTTTGCTTGCAATTAAGCCCAAAGCCACAAAATGGGTTATCCGTGGTCTGCACACCACGGATACTAAAACCAGATTTCTAGCGTTACAAGTCCCTAGACTTACCACTGTGCCACTGGAGGGCCCACATATAGGGGAACAACAAGAGAAAACCTAATGAAGAGTTCCATTCTTTCATGCTTTAAAAACGTGGCATATAAACTATAAACAATGATTGATCAGAATCTTAGGACTGAATTTCCCGAAAAAGAAGTATTAGCCTTAAAGTCTAATAAACTGCTAGTTTAGCATAAATGAACGAGATTTCGAGACCAATTTGAAGTAATACTACTGCATCCATGGTGTAGCGATACTTTTGACTTTCTGGGAATAAACTGTATCTGTAGATATTCTACATGCGTTTATTTATTGCTTAAGTGCGTGTATATCTAGACAAGTACATTAAGATATGTTTGTTCTTTTACAAGAAAATTGATTTCCTAAATGACTCGTGAAAAGACGTAATGACCTTTGTTTAAATTAGTTAGAACTGGTGTTAAAGGTTGTGTCATAAGTAAATGTTGTCCGACATCCCGGGGCATTACAACTTAGCATGGAGATAATAAGGATGGAAAAACTTCTATCATTTTGAGTTTAGATAACAGATTAATAATTTTTATCTGTACCTAACAGAATCAGACTTTTTTATCTTTGTTCGTGAAAACTCTCATCCATTAAAGGTCGATTACTGAGTAAGTCATTAATTTTTCTGAGGTTTACGGTATTAAATGAATAGTTTGTTTGCTTTAAATTCCATTATACATATAGTGGTCTCCCTGAATCTCGATCCGAGCGCGGCCAGGTGGTTCGCGTGACGAACTGTGGATCTGAGATTCCATACCCTTTTACTGCAAAAAAAAAAAGAAAAGAAAAAGAAAAAATCACACCCTGCACATTGTGATTGTAGGTACACTATAAGTGTGAAGGTCAAATCCCACTATTTGATTTAAGTAGCCCAAGAGTTGGCGACGGATAGCGTTGACTAACTGGCTTCCCTCTAGTACAAAAAAACAAGCCTTAATCACATCTGGTCAAGTATGTTTGTCTGTCTCTTTATCTTTTAAGTAATTAAGTTTTACAAATATTTCAGAGTTTCTTTAGAATGTAAGTATAATTAGTAAAATTTCTGCTTTTGAAATTTAATATGAAAGTAACACTACGAATTGAACAGTTTTAACATATTTGTAAAATGATATATCAAGAGGATAACATATATTTATATATCAACATATATGAATTATAAGTAGTAGTGAAATACACAATATCGTGTGTGTTAATTAAATTAACGCAAGAAATAAGCTACACTTTTGAGTATTGAAACAAAATATCAGCACATAGACTAGGAAGCTAGTTTCGATACTTTTATGCGTCAGAAGATTATACAAGACTGAATAGAACGCATGGCAGTGTCAAACTATTTACTTTGTCTTTCTGCTAATATTTTATTACAAAAATGTGATTTATTTTTAGCCGCGTCTTAGCAGCTCATAAAATGGCTCTGAGTTGTGTTTTTTTTTTCGTTTTTTTTCAGGTACAAACTTTTAGCTCATAGCTCCGTCATCTCTTGACCGATTTGAGATCTAGTTAAAGTTTTGGACTAAGGAGGTCAAACTCTTTCGGGTGATTATTTTGCCATGCCCAAGGTCTCATAGATTAATTTACTCTATCGTGCCTAAAATAATTTCAATGTGAGGGCAGGCTGGTAGAGATCCTAACGAGTAATAAAATCGAATCCGGTATACGCGCGCCTCACGCTTGGTATAGCTGGTGCACAAAAATATAGTTAATAAAAAGGAAAATAACGGTCTCATAAATTAATTTACTCTAATCCTGCCTAAAATAATTTAAAGTGTCGCGGCTATTGAGGATTCCCTCTTGTTTACGTTAGTGAATTATAAAGTGTTATGTATACGTATACTGAATTTAACTGTAACGAACTGTCTAAAGTTCCTGGTGTTATTATTTTAGATATGGAATGGATTTAAATGGAGCTAGACGAAAAAATGCTACCAGAGAAACAACGAGCACTCTGAAGGCTTGGTTGAACGATCATCGTAAAAATCCTTATCCGACTAAAGGGGAGAAAATTATGCTTGCGATAATTACCAAGATGACACTGACTCAAGTGTCCACGTGGTTTGCAAACGCCAGACGTCGTCTGAAAAAGGAAAACAAAATGACATGGTCACCACGTAATCGGTGTGAAGACGATGACATCGACGATGACGGGGATGACGAAGCTAACAGAAGCAAAGGAGAAAATAGAACAGACACATCAAGAAGACGAAACGACAGTGATGATGAAGAGAGCAACGTCAGTAGAACATTGGAGAGTTGGGAAGAGAAGCCAAACGTTGTTATATCTCGTTTAGAAGGTATGTGCTGAATAGAAGTGGTATTATTGGATATTGTTATTAATTCTTTTCGTCTAAAAACTAAGATGTTAGGAACTTTAATATGCATATATATATATATCTTACTTTCTTCTAGCTTATCTGATAATTTTTATAACAATATACACGGTTACCTTAAGTCAATGCCTCATTAGATCTTACCATTATTAAACAATTATTCTATATAATTAGAGATTTAGAGTAAAAATTAATTTCTAGGCTGATTGGAAGGTATTATATATACTGAAATTCTGATTCTTAGAAATATTCTACACATATCTTGTAAATACTTATAAATATTAACTTTCAAAATATAAAGACTTTATTGTTCAAAATAGGTTAATACATTTTCCCCCTCAAGTTAACATTACCTTAAGTGATAAAGTTTGTATTGTAAGATTAAGTGTAAACATATGATCACTTCAGTAGGCTAATTAGAAGACTCGGCATAGCTAGGTGGTTAGGGCGCTTGACTCGCAATCTGAGGGTAGCGGTCTCGAATCCCCAACATACTCGCCCTTTCAACCGTGGCGGCATTATAATGTGACGGTCAATCCCACTATTCGTTGGTAAAAGAGTAGCCTAAGAGTTGGGGTGGGTGATGATGACTAGCTTCCTTTCCTCTAGTCTTTCACTGCTAAATTAGGGATGGCTAGCGCAGATAGCCCTCGTGTAGCTTTGAAATTCAAACCAAACTATATGTTAGAGATTCCAGAGGGAAAATATTATAGAATCCCTTAGGACAAATGCATGGATTCACCTCCAAATAATCATAGTTTCTTTTTTTTTACCAAATTTAGTTCACGAATTGATGCTAGTTACTGTTGTTTTGCTGATTTACTGAATATTGAGTAAGCATGGTTAGAAGATTAGAATAACGAACTGGGATTCAAAGGATTCGTGTTCGAGACGTGGTAGTTTTTAAGCACCCTTCGTACTTTCAGCTGCGGGTGCGTTGCAAGAGTAACAGTCAGTTCACTCATTTGGACAAAAGTAGTCGCTTTTGGCGGGAGGTGTTTCCGACTGGTTTTCTTCCTTCTGTTCCACAGAAAAGAACAGCAACGATTGTGTCTGGGCTGTGGGATCCCTGATTTGGCCGCTTAGTCCGTTGTGTGCATGAGGTGATATTGTAGTGTACAAATAAAGCAACATACTTATTTTAGGTATATTACTGTATGCCGCATAGATTATCATGCACTCTGCAATGTAGGAACATTTTCCCTAATTAATTAAGCAACGTTCCTTATGCCAATCTATTTGTACATATATATATATACAAATGCTTTTTATTCCTTGGTTCATTTTGATACTGGATGCTCCTTTGTTGTATATATTGATGCTTACTAGTTCAGTCAATTATATCACTTTTATTTACTTTCCAAAATATTTTGCATTCGGTTTGTTTGTTTGTTTTTTAATTATGCACAAAGCTACACAAGGGCTATCTGTGCTCTGCCCACCACGGTATCGAAACCCGGTTTCTAGCGTTGTAAGTCCGCATTTTTGCATTCGGAAAGTTCTTGTTCGATTTACAAGGATAATAAAAAACACAAAAACCTACAAAGTAACATGCGTTTTGATGTAGAATAACACTTACTTTTCTTCGTAGTATAACACATTTTGTGCAAAAGTACAGCAATAAACATAGTAATCTAACTCTTAAGCTTAACCATGGATGAAAACACTAAGCATCGTCTCGAATCAACTGAAAACTAGAGAACGAAAATGTGTTCCTTTTTATATCTTTCTTATATTTTATATGTAAATACATGTATATATATACTATCAAACCACATTCTACGTTTCTTTGTTCAATCAGTTATACGCTCAGCTATTTAAATGGAGTACATATCTTGAAAAAAAAATCAAAATTAGCTTTAAAAATAAATAAACGAGAGTAGAGCCCACTCTTTTAAAAGAAGATTATGTCTGGATTTTACTTTGTTCTCTTTGGCGAGTTCATGCGCAGTTGAAAAAAAAAAATGAGGCGTCTAGTCGTGTTAACGCAGAGTGCACGTGTGGGAGTGTGTATAGATGGATGAAAAGCAGGGTTAGCGCTTTAACCAGGCGTGAAATGATAATTTGCGGTTAAGAGGCAGTAGGTGATAATCAGCTTCAAAATTAATCGATTCTGCTTTATGTGCTAAAGGCTCAAATCGGGAAGCCTCTTGTCAACACAAGAATGGGGTGAGAGGACACATTCTAAATTATATACCTTAATTGTAGAATAATATATTTTGTCTAAAATATAAGCAAACAGCTATTTGCACGCGACGTTATATACATATGTATACAGATAAGACAAACTCTTGTGTAACATTTTTCTTAGTTATATAACAAATCATCAGTGTAATCGAAGTTTGCAGGCATAAATCCCAATTCTTCACACTTTTATTTTAATAACTTATGGCTATTTTATTAGGAAACTCTTTCAATAGCAGATAACTTGAAAACTCCAAATTCGCAAAGTTTAAAAACTCTGTGTCACACTTAAGCCGTAAACATGCAAATTCCTTATTTTTTTCTACGTACCATAACAGAATACAAAAAGCCTATAAAGCTCCATTTTCAGGACGTTTTTAGAGTATATATATATACACATTTTGCATATACCGCGTATGATAGTTCTTCTTAGAGATGTGTGTTATAGTATTCGTAATATTACTGTTAAGATACAGAATGAAAACAAGCGGCTTAATCTGAGAAAGAAATTCTCTACAAAGTTTTATTAACAACATATTAGAGGCATCACCCTAAGGATAATATATGTAACATGTAATCACTTCTGTCGTCTCTTACAGGCTCAGAAGATTCAGGAAATATCGATCAATTAGATGTCGAACATGATCGAGTTTCTTTTGATAATGAATTGGCTACCAGCAATACAAAACTTCCAGAAACCAAGAACGCAATCAGCTCTTCACCTGGTGTTCCCGAATCGTTGTGTTCTTCTTTCTCGCCGGGACATTTTCCGTCAGCAAGTCGGTCCACTGACAACCACAGTCCAACTACCGAAACTTCGACTAATCCTATTAAACCTAAAATCTGGTCCATAGTGGATACAGCAACATCCAGCTCTCCTTCCCCCTTGGTGTCAGGTAAATTAAATCCCCTCCAAAGAACAACTCGTTTTGATTACTTAACCCCTTACCCTAAGTCCACGTGGTGCATAAGCTCCTTTGAGAAAGATGCATACCCTCTAAACTCTAGCAATGGTCCACCAGCTGCACCTCTAACCATTGCGACCTCACCATCTCCATCAAACTCGTCTCTAGTCTCGTCTACTGGTCTCTTGGAAACTTCATCTTCGTCAGCATCTCTTAACCTTCTACGTACAGCAGCTGCTGCATTTTCAGCCAGTGACTTAAATACACAGAAATCAGGGTCAAGTGCTTCGCTGCCGGTGTTCAACCACTCTTTACCCGGGTCTCGTTTAATCTCGTCCGTCTCGCAAACTCCTATATCCGCGAATGTTCTGACGGCTGCTTCTAGTACGTCTGTAGTTTCTACTATCCAGACTGGTGCTAGTTCCACCAAAAGCATCACTTTATGATAAGAAAAGACAAAACGTCTTTATGAACCTGCAAATAATAAACTCAGTGCTGTTGGCCGTTATAGCTTTCTGTGAAACAAACATCACGTAGTAGCTAAAACTCGATTTTCACATTATTATCGTTTCCTTCTGGATTTCAAAAATTATGTTTTTAACTTACATTTACATTATTGGTCAAATGATATTCAGTATGGAGCTTGACAATAGATATATGACATGTGTACCTCATATTAATATATTTATGTGTTATTAACTTCTATCTGAAGTTTGGAAGAGAAAGTTAGCTATTTAATATCAAAGGTATTCACAACTTATATTTCATATCTCACAGTTCAGTTGATTAATTTCGTCTAAGGATGCAAATATGTGGTACAGATGTTATATAGAGTCTGGGACATTTGGTTACGGACAATTTTGACATGGACTTTCTGTTACGAAAAATATTTCGTAATGACATCCAAGTTATCGTCACATCGTTACGGAAGGTTTCGTTACAAGTTGGTTTTGTGATTGGTGAATTTTGTTACTAGATTCATCACTATGATACATATATTATGTTTACAAATGTTCAAGTTATTAAAGGTGTCTTGAATTCAAATCAAAGTATGTTAAATTACAATAAATGTTTTTGTAGACCTAAATCGTAAGTTATGTTTTATGTAACACTGTTCATGACGACCCTTCCCTGTAACACATCGTAATACAGGCTCAGACACCCTCTCACCCCCAAGCTTTATGTAAACTTTGAATGGTTCCCAAATGATTCTACAATTTATGACCCATTATCATTTTTTTATTATTTTCACCAATCAAATCTATATCTAAAACCTACCTGTCACAAAACGAGTATTCGTAAGAAAACTGATATGTCATAAAAATGATGAAACACGAATGTACCCATCACAAATTGTCCCAGTAACTAAATGTTCGTAACAAAATATCCGATCCTGTTATATATATATACCTTAACTGCTTTATAAGGGTTTCGTATAATATATCGTCTATTGGTGTCATTTTGCATAAAAAAGTTATTAACACACACAGCCGAAGAAATCAGTTTGTAGAAATTGGCACGTTAGGTTAATATCACAAGGTAATAAATTAAATGACAAGACACACCTGAAACAATAATATTTGCGGTACGAAACATAGAGATTAATAATGAAAACGATATGTTTCCAACCCTAAGTGCATTACAAAGTACATTCATAATACATAGCTTCGTATCACTTAAAACGGTTTTAAATAGAAAGAAACTTTATTTCGTATGGTTTGCTTTGGACTCAGACATAATGAGAAGTGCGTGAGTTTACTAAAACAAATAATGTAAAAATTAAATATGCAGCTTGAATGTTGTTTTCAAACTGCTTAAGTTTATTTTTAATTTTCAGTTCAAAGTTTATAAAACGTGGAGTTTGATCAGGTAGTATATACCGTGCGTATATTTAGGAATGATATAACATGCACATGTAAGCCTGAATCGGTACATCACACACAGACACATACACACATATATATACAAGCTTTATTGACAAAACACGACTTAGATTACTAACCGTGTCGACGATGGATATCCGTAAGTAACTAAATGTAGTGTATTTCGCACAGAAAAATAATAAACCTTTAGTAACATTTTCTACGTTTGATCAAAGTTAACAGATGAAAAGTTGTACATGTTTTTAACTCTTTATTTTGTTTATCCGACATAAATAAGGTTTATTATTATATTTGTTAGAGTGCTTACTAATTTCCCGAAACACAATATACATAAATGAAGAAACCGGAAAAATCTATGTGTAATAAGAACATAAAGCAATTAAACAGAAGGTGGATTGATTTCAATGAGAAATATTTTGGAACATAAACAGAATTCTGATACTTTGAATATGTTAAATTTCTATTTGTTACAAAAAATATTATTAAGTATTGCATAATTTTTTACTCGAAAATTCATAATATTAGAACACAATTATGTGTAACCAGTTGTTTTGCATAATACAAGCACAAAAATTACCAGTATAAAAACCTTGTCATTTATTTATACGTACAATACATTGCTATGAAAGTATCTAGAGAGAACTCGTGTTACGACTTATCAAGTAAGAGAACATACTTGACACAAAAAAAAATATCCGTACATTCTGCTTGTATATATATCAAGAAAGATATAAGTTATATTCGTTTATAACAGTTAAACGTACTATATTTACTTTCAAAAGTTTACAACCAGGAAAATATTTAAAAGTATTGGAACGACTATATTTTACAGCGAACACAAACGCCTATTTTAAGCACAATTTTACTTTTTACTTCATCATTCAAGTCGAACACCTTTCATTTGTGATATTGCATTGTAGGCAGAGGTTAAGTCCCATTAGTCTATTATATCGTAATAACGTATGGAATAATTATAAACGCAATTAAAATATACTTAGAGGCTTATATTTATATACGGGTTTAACAAGAGCTGCGGTGGTATAACCATCCGAAGTTAATTTACTCGCAATGTACACATTTAAACAGGTTTGTCTTTATTTCGGTGTAATTATATATATATGATGACAAATTTTGTCAAAACAATTTCCACGAACTGATCCCTCATTTTGCAAGCTTATTATCGCGACTAAGTGCTTAAATCTGCTTTTTTTTTTAGAAATTACAGGTAATAATAGTTATAGCAACCAATATCAGGAACTTTTGAATTCAATATTTCAAAATTATGCAAATAATTTTGACACTTGTTATGAATATTTTCGAGAGGAAATTCAATTTATGTACTTATTTTTAAGCATATGTAATTTCAATCACCAATTTCTGTAAATTCATTTTCTTGAACGCACCAAGTCTTAATTTTTTAATGAATTACTCAACTGAATCTCTTATTATTTATACCGATGATCACAATGAATCTTATCAATTAAACTCAACTTGAACAAATGATTTAACTTTAATTTGTATATGGAACTATAAAAATGGTGTATCCAACGTGTTCAATGTATCTTGTTTTTTACATGTCGTGATATTTGTTTTACATCTGTATACAGGGAAAAATTATGATTCACCTCCTGATTTGAGTTTCCATGAAACTGGGTGAAGTTATTATTTATGAAGTGATATACTGTGAATACCTTTGTTATTTTCTGAACGATAAAGTACAGTTAACCTTTTTTATTTGTTTCAGAAGCACTTTAATGTAAGCCTAAGAAGAAACTGATTTATATATAATTTACGAAAATATAACAATACTGAAAAAAGTTAACCTCAGTTGTAAATAAATATGTACGACGTGTGTTAATTCCTAAAAGTATGTTACAACTCTTTGAGGATGTGTTTACTCTTTCGTCTCAAGCAAGTTAGTATTACTTAGCTTTATATATAATTGCTGCAGATAATTACTTGTGGTATACAAATTCTGAAACTTTTTCCACTTGTATTTGCATTTGTATATAAAATAAAGTAGAAAATAAAGCACATTTTCAGAGCCAAGTTTGTGTTAAATAATTAATAGTACATCATTGTAGAAAAATAAAATCACTTAAACACTTGAATGTGTATTTTTTTAATTAATAAGTACGTCATTGTAGAAAATTAAAATTGCTTAAATTATTGAATTAGTATTTTCTTAATCAATAAGTACATCATTGTAGAAAATTAAAATTACTTAACTTCTTGAATGAGTATTTTTCTCAAACCTTTCAAACACAGTATTAGTATTATTCTATTTTAGATTATTACAATTATCTTCTGATTGCTACAAGTTTTAATTAAATGTTTAAACCTTATTGTTAATTTATCTGTAATTTTATGCAATGAATAAAAATCAAAATTAAAGTTTCTACGGTTACCCATTCTTTCTATCAAACTAATATTAATTGAAAAGCACTATAAATTATAGACGATGATAGCTAAATATCAAAAAGATTTCACAATTCTTCAAAGTTGGAAATTAAGCCTCCTGGAGATGTTTGTTTTATATTAATGTTTATATAAAATAGAGCTATTCCTATTTATTATATTTGATTAGCAATTTTAGAATATCTTACTGAATTAAAAGACATAAATATGTATGTTTTGTTTGTGATATTTCTGTGTGTACACTAAGCAAATACACGTTTTTAGAAACATATATTTTATAATCAACTGAAGTTTCAAAGAATCACACAAATAATTTACACAACCATAAGTTAAAACGCGTAATAATTAAATTATAAAATTAAAACATAAAATAGTTCCAAAACTAATTGTTCGAGAATTTGTAGCAGACTAATAAGAGGAAAAATGCTTAAGTATTCGTGAAACTAATTAAATAAAAACTATAAATGATTAAACTAATATTTTCTATTAATCTATAGTTATGATAAGGTGTGGACTGAGATTCAAAGTTATATGAAACTCAATTATTAATTATTAATTCCATATATTTTAAAATTATAAGTTTATGTTATTTTACTGGGAGCAACTCGAATGCCAATGACATGACATGAATTTTCAGTTGACTATGAAATATATTTTTATGCTTTCCAAAAGGTAAATTTTATGCTAAATTGTTAGGCAAAGAATATATAGATATAATAAAGATATATAATAAATAATACTAGTAGATAAATGTACAGTAATTAAAGCATATGAAAATAATTAATTTTTGTGGGTACTATGGTCATTAAAGATTATATAAATCTCGATAGCATTCTACTTGAGTACTCGATGGCTCAGCGGTGATCCTGAGGGCTTACTACGCTAAAAATCAGGTTTCAATAGCCACAGTAAGCAAAACACAGATATCCACTGTGTAGCTTTGTGTTTAACAATAAAAGAAACAAACAATTCTACTCGAAAAACGATTATTTAAAAAGCCCCACATGGTTGAACCTGATAAGGAAACGTACATATTTTGAAATAATTTTTTATATATATTATAATATACTATAAAAGAAGTTTTATTAGAAAAATAGGAATTCATGGTGGCTACTTACAATAGCATAACATAAAATAAATTAAATGCAAATCGTAACATAAGTAATACAATTTTAAATGACAATATAAAAATGATAAATAATCAATACCAGCATCTATTTTACAGCTATATGTTAAGATTTATAGTGAAAATTCAACATATCCGTTGAGTTTTTATTTTATTTTATGTTCTTGTTATTCAAATAACCCTACACATTTTCGACTTTTTTGTATTTCGAAATGTATTTTGTATGCATAAGCAGTCAGAGTTAATTTCAAACAAAACAATTATCTTAAAAAGTTATTAATTTCTTTGACAAAATGTAGTTTAATTTATCACTGTTTCTGCGATTCATGTGACATAAGTGTGAAATTTATTTTTTACAGCTGTTTGAATTTTAGGAAATCTTAAATGCAGTCATTGTCAGAAAATACATCAGTTCAAATACGTATTTAACTTTATCTTTCATTGAGGGTTTTTCTTTCTTTTCATTCAACTTAATAAACAATGTGCATGTAATTTAATAGGAAAACTGGAACTGTGGATTTACACTTTTAAGATATTTGAATAACGAGTAATAAATATAACATATATTTACTTGGAAAAATTATGAAATAGATTTCTTACACAAAACAAAATGTTTTCACAAACAAAGGCTGATGTTATTTTTACAGTTAACCATTAATTGGAATTTGGTCATACATTATCATAACGTAAAAAGGAAGATGATGTTTTGTGCATCACACACAAACCCAAAAATCTCCGCATTTTTTATTTTCAGCGTTAGACAACCAGCAACACTGAATCACAGAGAGTGAGTGGGTGAAACATAACAATGAGCGATGGATGAATTCCGTGTTAATTTAAAAAATTGGGGTGATAGCGATCACAAGTTTCCATTACTGCTGACACCCGATTAACGAAGCAATTTTCCTAAACCATTAATTTCAATATACCTAGTTTAAACTTGATGTACTTTATCAGTAACGGTACTCATGCATATTATATATATATATATATACGGTGTGTGTGTGTGTGTGTGTCTGTTTTACTTTTTTATTCGTAAACTAAACTTGTAAAGATGTGCTATTTTCATTTATTTTTTACCCCAGTGTCCATAGATACATGTATTAATTCTTTCGAATTTAGGATGTTTATATTTTCGCTGATGTTTATCGTCTTCATTCAACTATTTGCAAATCTTCAACAAATTTATCTTCATAAAATTCAAGAAAACATTTACATATCTAAAATAACATTCAATCAAAAATTAAGATTTTTTTTATGATTGTGTTATTTTGGTAATTTTAGCTAATACATTCATGTAGCGTGGAACTTTGGAAATTTTTAAGTAAACGTTTAGCTTTCAATACTTAATATTTTCATTAAAAGAATATATATAGTTGGGATGAAAATTCATTGTTCCTGTAAACTGACCATTGTTATTTACTGTGTTATAATACAATATTGATATTCTAAGCGGTATACAGTCAATATATATAGTCTCTGAAAATATTTGAAAAATAAAACAATTACAACATACGTATAAGCTAGTTATTATTAAAGTATATTACCACATATAAAAGTAATTCTTTCTAAATGTAGGCTTTTTGAAGCTAATTTCGTCAATAAGGTAGAAAATCAAAATCGCTACCAAATTTTTCATATTGAAAACTTAAGATACAAAAATATGAGTAGTTTAGTTTCCATAAACAAGTAGAAATTTGAGGATTCCTGGTTAGTTTACTAGTTATATTCATGATGTTAGTAAAACACTTAATGCAATTATGTAGGGATGATGCAAATGGCATCTCTGCAATCTTGTTTGCATTGTTTTTTAAAGACTGATATTAGCTATCCCTACATTTACTTTCCCTTTTCAAAAGTTGTTTTTTACTTATTTGCTTGTTTTCTAATCCAATGTTTCAATATACTTAGGGAGGTTGTATTTATAACCTAATTCTAAAAACAATGATGTTCCAAGTGTAATATTCATTCTTTATTTATTACTGGCTGGTAATTCCTGTTTCACCCTGTACTTAAGTTTTTTAAAGGAACGCCAAATTTCCGTAAGAAAGTTAACTTCAAGAGATAATGAAAACATCGTCTACACTAGAATTATGACTTTTTAATTACTACTAGTTATCAAAAATACTTATAAAAGCTGATACTCAGTTTGAAATTATGTCACCTCAGTGAAATTAGTTGACACTATTGTTTGATTTTTGATATGTCATGTAATAAAAAAAAAAAGATGCAGAAGAAAGAAGAACAAGAAATTCAAACTTTTCTGCTATGACATTTACAGAAATTCACAGAACTTGTGACTCAATCATTACATAGATACTGTTATAAAAGAAAACACTATGTAGTTTGATGAACACTCCGAGCCATCCCTACATAGGTTGTACCTCTGCCTGCCTGATGCTAATACATTATACTGTTTTTGACAAAATCTTATCTCTAACTTCTGTTAACATTATTTATCTGCAGTTTTGGCTTTAGGTATTTTATTTTTTTTTTTGGTTCAGCGACTTATATTAATTAGTCAAAAATTAATAATTGACTTTTTTCCACATACCACAGATATATTATTTCAAAGAATAATGAGAGGCAAACATAAACCATGTTAAACATATAGATCGGTTTAACCTTCAGCTACAGGATGATTAACTAAGAAAACAAAACTGTTTAAATAATCATAAGTGCAATGAGAAATACGTGTTTGAACTTTTGTCCAAGACGTTGGTCAGACGCTCTTCTCCGTCACAGCGATTTTAACTACCATATTGGTCTAATTATGGGGCGATCTTGAATATAAGACAACCCAATTTTCAGAAACCATGAGTAAGAAAAAATTGAATGCATAACGCCCTTTTTTATGTCCACAAAATCAAATACTATAATTGAACAACCTGCAGGTGGATCAGTTGCAAGAATTAACGATGACCTAGAGCGAACATCAGGCGCGCATGCTTAGTCGGATGCTATCTGAACATTCAGTATTGCGACAAGCAGGGGAAAGGGCCTGTGGTCGGCCGCGATTATAAGACGACTATGAATTTTACAGTCTAATTATTAATAAAAAGCATCGCCTTATAATCGGGCCAATACGGTGCTTTTTTGTATTTTCAGAATTTATCACGACGTAACTATACTTATTTGATATAAGCGTTAAATAAGCACGCCTATTTTAAATTAAATTAAATTTCGTACTTATGGAAATCAAGAGTTATTAACATTTAAATTCACCGATTCCTAGCTGTAACTGAATCGTATCTGGAATGGAATATATTTTATTCTTGATGTGAGTTTCATCATATGTCAGGCCTCCGTTTCGCTCTTGCCTAGTTAACCATATAATTAACACAAACACAGGTTTTCAGATAACCAGCCCTATTTATAGATAATACATAATTTGCATTTGACAACTGCTATATGTTGCTTTAAAACTCATTGAAACATCGTGTAAAATAAGTTGAAAAACATTCAATATTCTATAACATCTACTGTATAAGTCATC